TAAATTCCAGCCCCCCTATGGAGCACTATCAAATCCAATCCCAAATGTACTGCTTTGACTCCTGATGACACAAACTAGCTGACTTCAGTTCCTTCCTGTGTAGTCTTCCCTCCTTTATCAAGTCCAGCTGCAGGCCTCACACAGACTGTGCTGAGACTTAAAGCTATTTAACTTAGCTTCATAGAAAGAAACGAGAGCAGTTGTAGAAGAGGTCTTCCGCAGAGAAGGAAGTACTTGCTCTTAGAGGGAGGTGTAAGGTTTTCCTGCAAGCTCCAGAGTCAAGAGGTGTCTCTAGAGCCAGAATCTTAAAGGGCACCCTGTCTCAGAGTGCTGCACTTTCCCAACCAGGCCTGGTCTGGATGGTAGAGGCTGTGCTAATTCAGTCGCTGGAGTGCTGTGAGCAACAAATATCACATCTGCTCTCAACTGTAGGAATAGCCTCTTTCAATAAGTTTTATTTCCTTTGTATCTTTTAGTTACCTCAACTGTGAGTTTGTTTTTGTGGAGCTATTTTGGGTTTTCTGTTGTTGTTTGTTTTTGAGACAGGATGTTGCTAAATCCCTAAATTGCGCAGGCTAACCTTGAACTTGCAGTCCTTCTCTCTCAGCTTCCCAAAGGGCTAGGATTATAGGACTGGTGTGCTGCACCACACCAAGCTCAGATGCTTCAATTGTTACATTGCCAACATAATTCTCCTTTCTGGAATGTTTTCCTTAAACCACTACCAGTAAAATCTTCAGTACCAGGGTGACCACAATGTTTGCTTTTTGGTACTGGGAATTGAACTGGAGGACCTGGCGCTTACCAGGCAGGCGCTATGCTGCTGAGCTACATCCCCAGCCCAAGGGTGACCACCTTGTGCCAGTGTTACAGCTTGCATCTAGATGTTCCCCCAAAAGCATCACGTAGTTGATGGTGGGGTGGGGGTGGGGAGTTTCAAAGGTGCCTGGATATAGGGTGTGTGATGGGGTTTAATGGTGCCCACACGGTGTGGGTGTGGCTGGCACCAATCAACAGGCTTACATCCTGGACAGAATATAAAGGCAGCTTCTGCTTCTGCTGCTGCTTTTCTGCTTGCTGCTCATTGCCTCCTACTTGCCACACCATGGACTGTTTCTCTGCACTGCCTCTGCCATGCTATGCTGTGTTGGAGCCTAGCATGAGCTGAAATCCCTACAAACTGCGGGCTAAATAAACTTTTCCTCCCTTAACTTGTGGGTGTCAAGTATTTTGTCTCAGCAACACGAAAAGTGACTAAGACAGCTAGGAACTAAATAAAGCAATTCCTGAAACTCCTTACACACTTTTCTTGCACCAGTTGATATACCACCTCTGTCAGTTCTAGTCTTTGGAGAAGTACATGCCAAGAAGAGATTACCCTCCATCTGGATAATTTGGGACCAGCATCTGCTAATTCAACCAAGCTTAAATGGAAACTATTCAGAAAAAAATGTATCTGTGCTGAATATATAGACATTTTTGTCACTGACCCTTGAACAATACACTATAACAAGTATATATGTATTTTAATGAGTATTATAAATAATTTAGAGATGTTTTAAAATATACTAGAAGATGTACTGGGTTATATGCAAATACACTCCCTTCTATATAAGGGGCTTCAGCATACAGATTTTGGTGTCTATGGTGTTTCTAGAACCAGTCCTCCAAGTTATGTAGATACTGTGTATATTCATATATATATATAGACACACACATTTGTATTTACTTGTCTGTGCATAGGCTATCTCTGGAACGAGACTGTATAGTTTGTGAGACCCCTGTTCAAGAGTTACCAAAAATTTGGACAGTGATAACAGATCAATAAACCAAGCACATGACTCAATGGTTACATACCCATGAAGCTGGCTGTGTGCACTGGTATGGTTTTGACTCCAGGAGGAAACATGAGTAGCAGGATACAGGAACTGAAAAGAAACTTATTTTGTTTGGGTTGTGTATCTTCCCCTGCCTTCTATATTTTGTAGATGTAAAAGCATTACTTATCAGAAACAAATGTATCCTGGGTTCATTGGGTAGAAATGTATCCTGGATTGTTTTAAGCATTTTGAAGAAAACATACTCTCCTGGGGAAAACATCCGGTTAGGGGAACATTTCTGCCCTCAGTTAAGCAAGCAGTGGGCCTTATGGGCTGGGGATTTAGCTCACTGGCACAGCGCCTGCATGGCAAGTGCAAGGTCGTGAGTTCGATTCCCGGTACCGGGGGTAGGGGGAAGCAGTGGGCCTTGTACTGTAATGGGCTTTGCTCTGGCTTTCTATATATGCATCTCCCAGTGGAGTGAGAAGCCCATGATCTCAAGAGGGATGTGTCCACACGGACATAACGCTCCACTTAAAAGATTATACACTGGACACCTTAGAATTCCCTTCCGTAAAGGCTAAGCCTGCTTCCAGGGTTTGCCCAGTCCTTTTCCCAAGGTCTGTCCTTAGTAGCCAAGAAGTTAACTGCAGTATGTCCAGGTAATGGAGACAGGCGTTAGAGAGAAGGTTGGGGTATTCTCAGACACTGGGCTCAAAAGCTATCTGTAAAAATTTTCTCGCCCTTTCATGATAGAAATGATACTTTCTCCGGCCCAACATAATCCCCTGCCGCATCAATCACAGCTATTATGTACAGGTGTGTACCACCACGCCCGGCCCTAATAATTTTTTTTTTTTTTTTTTTTTTGGTCTTTTTTGAGACAGGGTCTCGCTATTCAGTCCAGGCTGGCCTCCAACTCAAAATGATCCTCCTCCTGCCTTAGCCTCCTAAGTGCTGGGATCACAGGCGTGCGCCACCACACCCGGCTATAATTCCAGAGCTTGAAATTATAATTTTTTTAAAACAGGCGCCCGGTCTGTGGAAGACACTGTACCACTTTTCAGCGTACTGGTGAAGAACGTTCACAAGTAAATCTGCTCAGAACAGAAGCACCCTTTCACAAACCCGTTGATGAGTAACGACTACAACTCCCAACACGCACCGCAGCCTGCACGTGTCAACGCCCCGGTTCGCCCAGGCCCACGGGTTGCACGGGACACGCGGCCAAAGGCGCCGCGGGACGTGGCGTGTGAAAGTGACGCAGGGCTGAAACACACTGCGCGCGGCCTCGGCCCAAAGCGCGGCGCGCCTGCGG